TTCTTGCATTGTGCACGTTGTATCACAGATCAACACATGAACTTAAAAAACTAAAAATCAAAACCAGAATTAAATTTAATCAGAACATGAAATATTGAGCATATGATATGATTTAACATAATATGTGTATGATTGAAAGCATTCATGTAAAATCAACTTACTACATCGTTTAGTATATACCCCAAATAATTCGTTGGGATCATTTGATATGGCAAGAGAAACAAATAATACACTGTAGTGTCTAATGAGATAATGCTGCTACAATTTATTATGCGAGTATTTCACAGGAGGAATAAAATACAAAACAGTATGTCTATATATTCAAATATAAATATCGGATAGCATGTTTGGACTTTTATGATACCTATTTAATGTGTTTGCATTATTCACATCTTCAAATAGGGATCATACGGAGAATGATATTGGCTGCATAATGAAGTTAGCTTAACTGGACTTGAGACATTACTGTCAGAAGCCGGTATATTCCTTTTGATTATCCTCTCTTTCTTTTAGGAGAATAGCTTATACATTGTATACATTGAGGGCCTCAGGGAAGATTAGTTTGTTGTAGCTTAATGTGTTTACCTTCTTTAGATACAAAAATTATTATTATTATTATTATTATTATAGTAAAGGTTTAATGCGTTTTGGAAAATCGCAAGTCATTAACAAATATACATATCATCCATTTCGGGTACATCTTCAAAAAATGATATACCGACTGTATACGGTAAACATATTTTAACAAAAATACCGATCTGTAACATGATTTCGGTTAAATTAAAAAGGTGAGGTCATCACAATTGTCATAATCAAACACTCGACTATATCAACCAATGGCAACACAATGACACTTAAGTGGTAAATGACACTTACACACTTGACATAATGGATTTTACGTATCTACATCGCTCTTTAAAATCAATTTAGTCTTATTCTTAAATTCGGGTTATCGTTTAAACTACAAATTACAAAAAATATCTCAAAATCTAACATTGAACTATTCTAACGCTGTCTTTTCAAACATCACGTGCATTGCAGGATAGCACAAATTCAACATGGTTTTATATTTCGTATCTGCATGTTTTATATCGTTTGTAAAATTAATTTATCGGTTACTTTGTTTCTCTCCATCCCTTTGTCTTTATCTTGCTTGTTCGTTCTAGCTTGATATTGGTATGATTGCCCCATACATCCATTGTACCATCTTCATATGTTGACCGTTGATAAATATTCACACATATCATGTTAGCCACTGTTGTCAAGAACTGGTCGTCTGTACACAATACATGAGCCATGAATTCATGAATACTTACTTCCATTCCTAACATTTTTTGCATGTACCACTCGAAAAAGTAGATACTCTCCCAGACACTGCAGTCTTTCCTCTTTATGTCCGTAAAAGTGATTGTACTTGTGAATGGAAGTACTATTTGAACAATTTATATTGTTCTTTCCACATCATAGATATCAATTCCTGATTTTGCTCTTTCAAGGAAACGCGTATTTCCGAAATAAAATAGCGTGTTTTTCTATATATGTATATTTTTGTGTTTGACACCATTTGACAGAAAGTCCAATTTCTAGTTCAATATATTGTAACCACCTATCAATTTCAAATCTCTTTGCTACACATCTGATTGTATTTTATTTTATTTTTACTTTTAAGATTTTGGTAACTCTTCTTATTCTGTTTTGTTTGGTTTCAAAAGGCTAAACAATGGATATTTATGAAGATCTCAACCAAGTTGGGTAAATATATTGTTATATGAAAGTAACACTTTGTACAGTTCATACATTCTTAGCACTTTTCTGGTTTAACTTTTACCACGAACGCTCATACCAAACCATTTGGAAGTCAGGGACGCATCAAATACGTAGATACGTAAGGAGCTATGCGCTCAATAGGGTTTAGTTGTAGATATAAAGGTACATATTTATCATTTCACTTTTATCATCAGACGGCGAATACAAAAGGAATAGTCAATCAACTCATCATGATACAACAGTATACAAAACGCAAAAAATACAACTAAAGACTGAACAACACAAACTCATAAAGAATCAGGAATGGTCTCAGGTCTTGAGGAATTGTAAGAAAACATTTTTGACATGTGGAACCTTTCGTGTTGTTCAATTACTAATACAAATTTGATTTAAGAAGAGTTATAGTAAAATGTTTACAAATAATTTGGGCTATTTTACTCGTCTCGTGATTATATCATACTCACTTATCTATTACATTTTGGGGCCTCGGTGGCCGAGTGGTCTAAGTAGTTACTACTGTAATCAATAGCCAGTCAACACTGAGGTTGTGAGTTCGAACCCCGCTCGTGAGGGTTCATTCGACTCCAATCTTAATTGACTAGGATTGTCATTTTTCCTATCGAAGGTCGGTGGTTTTCTCCGGGCACTCCGGCTTCCTCCACCAATAAAAACTGGCCGCCACGAAATAGCCAAAACAGCGGTGCTTAAAAGTGGCGTTAAAACACCAAAAATCAAAATCTATTAAATTTTGGTTGTATTTTGACATAACTGTAACAATTCTAGGATTTGTTAGAAATGGCAATATTTCCGAACTAAGAGCTACAAACATGGGGCTATTAATGATTATTTAACATATACACTTCTTCATTGTTCTTGTGGAATACTTTTTGTGTAAGTTTGTTTGTAATGAACGTGATTGATGAACTGTATCTTCTAATTTCTAATTGTTGTGTGTGTTTTGCATATTTTGTGTATCAACGATTTGGACTCGGTCTTGAAAATATTCCAAAATTTACGGCAATATTGAAATTTCATTTCAAAATGTACAATTTACTCAGATGTTGTTATCATGCTGTAGAAACTGTATTATATTGTAATTCAAAGTTTTAAGTTAAGGACAAAATTTCCCATTGGAAACTTCTTATTTCTTGATTTAAGAATTAAATGCTTCTTTTCGCAACTTTATTGTGGTATACGAGCGTTGATCAGACCTTTTGTTTCCGCACTTCATATTAAAAATGTGCGCACAATCAGCCCTTTACAACCCTTCAAAAATACAAACAGAACCATTCAATTATTATAAGTGCATGATTATGCCACAACCATAAAATAATGTGTTTTTTATGTTTGGTTTATTTTCTTAAGTAATGTTGTAACATTTTCACGGAAAGCAAGTTCTTACATGAATGTTGCATTTTATAGAGACATAAAATCAATGGAAAGTACTGATTCTTATGAAACAGACGTATATTTTAATTGTTTATGAACCAAGTTATGTGCAATGCATTTTATTAGTGGCTATCTTAGGTCATCTTGTAATGTTTGTTTATCAGCTTGTTGATGTTGATAACATGTCTTTGACAGTTACTGTTAAATTTGTTCTCTGAAACTTTGTGGTTGCAAAATTTGTATACATCTGTTCAAGTTTAATATTATATGGTACAACTGTTAAAGAGGTTTACCGATGATAAAAGGTCATAGATAAATATCGACAACACGTCAATCTTACTCACACAAAAAAATGAGGGAATTACATACACTCCTAAAGCTGTCAGACCAGATAAATCAACAGCCTTTCCTGTGATACATGCATCAAATAACATTTGATCCACATTCAGACAAAATGTCACAGTGTAGTCCAGGAAACAAATTACAGATCAGACGACTGCATTGGTACTCAAAGATCTTCGACTGCAAAGAAAACATTAAGCTAGCGATTCTAGAAAAAAAAAACATACATCGTATTGTTCAACTAACTAGTGATTGTAACTTTAAAAGACACATTTATTGTCGATTTCAGTCTTCGTACCGCATAATCCTGTTGGCAATTTTTTTATAGGGAACCCACCAATGCTAATGCAGTCCATATAGTATGAACATGCACAACGCTTACGTATCAATTGCGACATGTGCACGTTGAGTGACGGGTTAGAGGGTTTGTTGTTGCTGAGAAATAGAAAGTTTGAATTTAAGTAAAATAGTCTTAATATTGCTAGATAACTCATACATGTATAGTTAGTAAGACTAAATACAAGATTAAAAAGCAATGAGCATTGATATGTACAGTTGATAAACACCATATAACAATCGTCATAAACAACAAACAACATTGCAAATATGTTGTAAAACGTGCTTGATTTAATGTATTACATCTGAGGACTTTCCGATCTATGAAGTTTCATACGTGTAATAATATAAAGGCAACAGTAGTATACCGCTGCTCAATAGTCATTAATCGATTAAGCAAAAACAAATCCGGGTAACAAACTTAAACCGAGGGAATATGCCATAAAATAACTAACAGATTGTTAGGAAGAATGTATATTAAGAACCTATATTAACTATTATCGATATTCTGTGCCACAAACGATTTAACCCAGATCTGTTTGACATAAGTCGTGATTTTTTTTACTCAAGAGCCTTTGGGACTTGGTTAATTGGTTTTCGTTTGCATCGTGAAAAAACTAGTCTAAATGACAGAATGAAACATTCTATGTTGACTGAAAATCTTATCACACATTTTACGTGTCTTTGATACTAAAGATTAAGAAATCACTGTGAGGTTTTTATCAATGTGAATAATCGGACTGGGTGAGTTTCGCTATAAAAAGAACTCGCCTCTGGATATTTGATACAAATACCTTAATGCAGCTTTCCTGAAATCGCAATAATTAATCTCGAATATTTGTCAATTGATCAAAACTTGCAATAATGAATGCACGCAATAATTCCTGAATTTATAGTATTCAAGCAAAAACTAACCCAACACAAAAGGAAAAATTACAAAATACCCAACTAAATAGAAAACCACTACAATAATTAAGGAACATAACAAAATATGATAAAGTGAAAAAAAATAAAACAATAAAATAGTTTTTTGATTAAGAACATTATTGAATCAAGGATATAATCTATTGAAGAACGCGAATAGATGATCATTGAAGTTTGTTTTATTCCAATGGTTGAATTTACTTTTGTGTAAATCGAGTCAATTGACTAAAGAGGATCTTTTTTTTAAAAGCATAGGATTTTTTAATAATACATGAGGAGTTATTTGGTGATTTTTTTTAGTTCAGTTATTATGAACACATTTTTGCAGTTTGACAATGACCAGGTACTGTTGATCCCATATCACTAATATATGTTCAGTCTACAGATATTATCTTGTGAGTAAACAAAACTGATTTGCTGGAAATGTCTAACAATGGCTTAGAAGTTTTCTTTCAGGCATTTAACGTCAACTTGGACAGGTCGAAAACAGTGTTTATTCAAAAAAGCCAATACATTTCTTCGTTGTAACAGTTCAGTATCGACGACAATATTCTCGATAAACCTTTCCCTTTTATCATCGTTTGATGGCTATGGTACCTAGGCAGTAATGGGTTTCTTGTACTTTGTGGTATGTATGTGGGATCTTTTACAATATCTTGTGAATGCCTTGTATGTTATGAATGCAGTTACATATGCAATCAACAGGATACCAAAAACCATGATTGTATCTTTGAGTACTTCTCGAATGTATGTGAGTGTCATGTCGGCTTCTGAAAAATAAAAAAATCATCATCATCATCATCATCATCATCATCATCATCATCACATCATCATCATCATCATCATCATCATCATCATCATCATCATCATCATCATCATCATCATCATCATCAAAAAGGAAGATCTGTGAGTGCATTCAAAACCCCTATTATACTCATTTCAAAAAGCACAACATATACAATTGCCGTATTCTCTTAAACATCTTCAAAGGTAATCGAAAACGTTTCATAACAGCATGATATGGTTTAGTTAAAATAGCTTCCATTAAATGTCTATATTTGAACTACAAACCATATGATCTTCACATCATAGATCCATCAATGAAGTCTTTATTAATATTGACTTGTATGATGTTAAATTTACCTTTTGAGTTTGTACAGTTTTCAGTATGTAACGAAATGTTTATTGACTTTTCAGCGATTTGTCTTGAGCAGCATAAACACATTATTGCCATCTTGCTATTGTATCTACCATTTGTCCACTGGCACAGACTAAATGAAAAAATTAAATCTATTTACCAAACACTGTATATTAAGCATATATTATTTCAAGTGAAGTATAAGCATAGATGTTTTTTTTTTAATTTGTATCACGAGAAATACCTTTTTAGCGATAAAAAACAACTAATCAACTCCGTAATGAATTTTGCTATTGAGCAATTGTTAAGGCAGATGGTGGTCCAAATTGAGAAAAAAAAAATATATTAATACTTTATCAAATAATGTATTTTATATTATTTTTTTTTATACAGTATGCATAATGAGTCATGGGATTTTTTTTTACCTTGTTGGTAGAATGATTTTGTAAAGATTATTCATTGAAAAAAAATACTTGTTAAAAAAAAAAGAAAACGATGTATTTATATTTTAATTTTCTCATCAGATATGATAAGGTAGCTCTTATACAATAAGACCACATGTACTTTAAGACATGTGGTTTGCGATTCTCATTTTCGTTTTACAAATCACACAGTAAATTTACTGTACATATCTTAATAAAATTGTTCATCCCCGTTTATTTTTAAATAAATAAAGAAAACAATTAAATGAATTAGATTAAAGAACTATATTTGTTATTTTGTATCTCTTATTATAGTACACACTGAATGAAAAATAAAAAAAAAAAAACACACACACACACACAAGACGCCAACGTGTACGTTGCATCAATGGAAGTATCCATTGCACTCTGAGCATAATTTAGGAATCATGATCATATAAATAAGAAGATGTGGTATGAGTGCCAATACGACAACTCTCCATCCAAGTCACAATGTATAAAAAGTAAACAATTATCATGAATATAGATCAAAGTACGGTCTACAACACGGAGCCTTGGCTCACACCGAACAGCAAGCTATAAAGGACCCCAAAATGACTAGTGTAACACAATTCAAACAGGAAAACCAACGGTCCAATCTATATAAAAAACGAGAAACGAGAAACACTTTTGAACCATACCAACAAACAATAACCACTGAACAATAGGCTCCTATCGTTAAGGTATATACAATCACGGGTATTGGTGTACTTACATATATCTGAATGTTGTCCACTTTAGAAACTTCTATAACTATCATATATTAGATCGAAGAAACTGTTGATCAAATGTAAAAATCAATAGTACTTGTGATCATTTATCTAAATTTCCGGTTCTCTGTAAATTAAATTGATTTCCTATCGTGCTTATACATGTTATACCAGGGAAATATTTGTTTCCGAAATGAAATAATGTGAATATGTGTATTTATTTATTAAAACAATTTTAATAAAACATAACTTTGGGTTTATAGGTTAATAATTTGTTCAATTGTAAAACTATCTTTTAACTAATAAATAAGCTTATTTAAGTCTTTGATACATGATATTTTTTATAAGTAGTTATATGTCTTGAACTCACTGTCAGTAACTCCGAGCACTCCCAGGTAACAGTCAGCAGAACGGTTTGTAACCCTACTCGGACACATTAGTCTGACTCGGAGCCGACCAGTCTTTGTTCTTACTCCTTAACATCGTCTCCTAAGCGGCGAAGTAGCAAATACCAATTTAAAAGTCTTTGGTGTGACCCGACCTGGGTTTGAATTCATGACCTCTCGGACTCGAGGCGAACATTCTACCACAACTACACCAAGGCGGTCATGCAGTTAAGAATGTCGCTTCAATAGATCACAATGATTTAATGCATAAAGGATATAACAACATAACATTTAATATAAGAAATAAATGATAGATTAGTAATAGGATTCACTCTCTCAGCTACATGTCATATCATTATAGTTTTGTCATTTAAACCTATGACTTCAAGCTGTTTGTATATTTTTTTCACCAGTTTCTTCTGTTGTTTTATTTTGCTACTATTACGATAATTATTTTCATTCATGATTTGTGTAACTTTATGTACAAAATGTTACGAATATACCACAGGTGTTTATAACTGTACCAAATCGATTACAACGGCTTGTTATATACATAATTTAAATATCATAAATGTATGACTATCTTAAAATATAAGTCATGACCATTTACAGAGTCCAGTTTCATTAACTCTACACTTCAATAGGCTGATGTTGTGTTCTTTGTGGAAATATTCGATTTGCACTTGAAGAAGAAATATACGATACTGCTTTCAGTTCCATAGCGTTACTCACTGGTCTGTCAGAGGTCGATTTTCGGTTATTTTTTCTGTTAAATATTTGAGATTCTCGACCATATCGTTTTCTAGTGTTACGTAGACAACTTGCACCACCTGCTGATAGCAAAACGAACAGCGGAGCAGCTGATACACTGATCATATAAACATACATGACTGGAAATGTCGAGTACACTTCTAAAAATATAAACTACATGTAAATACTGTAAATTCAGGACTGTGCATTATTTACTGCGAAATTTCTACAATGCACAGAAATGCGAAATATGCAAGTGCAATTTCTAAAGATTTTATGACTACAAATAATGTTTTCAAAATTGACTAAATAAAGGCAACAGTAGTATACCGCTGTTCGAAACTCATAAATCGATAGAGATAAAAACAAATCCGGGTTACAAACTAAAACTGAGGGAAACGCATCAAATATATAGGAGGACAACGACACAACAAAAACACAACATTAAAATGTAACACACACAGAAACGAACTATAATATAACAATGGCTATTTTCCTGACTTGGTATAGGACATTTTAAGAAAAAAATGGTGGGTTGAACCTGGTTTTGTGGCATGCCAAATCTCCCACTTTTATAGCAATGTTAAATATAACATTAAAATGACAACATTACATGACATGACTACAATACAAATGAATGGGAGAACATATAGGACAAAGAAACACACGAATAATAGCTAACAAAAGGTACAAGGTTTAGAACTTAATACGCCATACGTGCACACAAGACTAACCAGTGACGCTCAGATGAAAAAAGTTTGAAAGCCAAAACAAGTACAAAGCTGAAGAGCACCGAGGACCAAAACTTCCAAAAAGTTGCGCCTAACACGGCCAGGGTTTTCTACTTGGGACAAGAACATCCTTATTATTTAGAATAATATATACTTTTGCAAACAGTAAATTTTATAAAATGACTATATAATAGATATACATGATAAAACCGAAGTGGGGACTAACTAGAGAAAAAAAAAACGGATACATTACATAAAACAACTTAACCCAACACTTAAAAATACACAGCCGAGTTAGCCAAAGCCTCAACGCACAAAGTGACGTCACATTTGAAATTCTAAAAAAAACACACAAAGTGACGTCACATTTGAATTTGTAAAAATATTACCCATAAATATGATAGAATTAGGATTGATTCAAGATTAGATCTGTAATACTGACATTACATTTATTAATAACAATGAAAATTACAATACTATTAATATCAAATTGTGGTAGTAATTAGATAATAAATTGAATTATCTAGCTATGTCGGTGTTTTTCTGAATCAAACTGTAAACCAAATATATCGTATAAATTTCGTTGAACCAAACTAAAATCTAATAAATGAAGGGGTGATTAATTATCTTTACCATAAAACACGAATATAACAGAAAAGATGTTAAGACATTTGACAAAATCCGACTAGAATAACAATATAACATGAAAATTAAATACATGAATTTGGGATAGAAAAGTACCGTGACACGTCTTATAGCAATGCGGTTTGACCCTCAGCAAAACAGTCACAATCGGGAATAAGTCACGTTCGGTAATTAAAAGATCAGACGACGTAATGGCAAACCACAATCTAACACGTGGTAAAAATGTCCTTAGTTAGTTTGGACAGAGACACATCGTATGGATCAACCAATTCGTGATGGTGTCCGTAAAATTTACGGAGTGCCATTTTTAATCTGTCCTCCTCATAACTTTGTTGGAGCAGTTTCTGCGTAAGGAGCACACTCCTGTATATGAAGTCCGTATAGTGTGAACAAGCACGAGACACCATACGAAGGGGCAGAGGGTATGTTACTGCTGAGAAATGGGAAATTGATAATTGGGAAGTTGAAATCGTCCCGTTTATCATAGATTTTCGTGTGAAGTCGTCCATCTGTGTCAATATTGAGGAAAAGATCAAGGTATGAATCAGTCCTTCTAGTATCAGTAGTATCCTTAATTTCAAGTTCACTTGGATATATGAGATGTAAGTATTGGCTGAACTATGGGTTATTCAATGATAGAACATCATCAATATATCGGAAAGTAAAATTAAAGAATTTCGCAAGGTGCTTTTTCTTTTTGTCTTTTAGAAGGTTCTGAATGAAAAGAGTGTTCACATAAATACGTCCTTTTAAAATTTCACAGACAGTTGAGACAGTTGAACACACATTAGGATATATGAGTTCAATCTATGATTAGTGAAATTCTCTAAAACTAATGCTAATGTTATTTTTTTCCAAAAATATCGTGTTTTAAAACTTCAACATTTATGTTTCAATTTACAATGTTTTCATTTATCACAGAATAAAAACGATCTCACTAATTTGTTTCCGGCGAGTACATATCACGCATATGGCAAGACACAAATCTAAATTGTCTTGCTTTTCAACTCAATTAATCGCGTCATAACTATCGATTTACCCCATGCATTATAGAGTTTCAGAACAGATTTGTAATTGAACACACTTTTGACGGAAATCAGTAATGTTCAAATGTAGATTGATCGGTATAATTGTTTTAAGTAGTGAAAAAAATATGAAAGATTGTGAACTGTTATACACAAATATAATACATTTCAAGATCGTACGCGTGTTGTATGTTTATATTGTGTGAACATATTTAAAGGTTAACATTTACGACATCAACCATTAAGGCTTCTCATACATTTGAATATCGAGACATATACATGTGACTAATAAATACGATGTCTGATTAAATGATGTCATGAACAATTTTGCAAACTAGTTATTAGCATACTAATCAAAACACATCATCATTCCACGATAAGGATATAAAAGAGAGGCGAAAGATACCAGAGGGACATTCAAACTCATAAATCGAAAATAAACTGTCAACGCCATGGTTAAAAAAGAAAAAGACAAACAGACAAACAATAATGGATTTTTCTCATTGTTGAAGGCCTTACGGTTGCCTATAATTACTTACATCCACTTCATTTGAACTTTTTTGGATAGTTGTCTCATTGGCTATCAGAACACATCTCCTTATTTTCATAATAGTACACAAAACACAACATAGACAACTAAAGACAGAGCAACACGAACCCCACCAAAAACTGGGGATGATCTCATGTGCTCAGGAAGGGTAAGCAGATCCTGCTCCACATGTGGCAACCGTCGTGTTGCTCATGTTAGTACAAACCCGGTAATAAGTCTAATTCGGTAGGTCACATTCGGGAAAAGGGGACGGGATTGTAGTTACGACACTTGAAACATATCCGTTAACATGTGTGAAACGGATATTCCATAACTGTCAACCAATTCGTGAAAGCGACCGTAAAACTTACGAAGGGATGAATTCAACTTCACTACTTGGAACTTATGGTTTATTAGCTTCTTTGTGACAGCAACCCGCTATCAAAGAAATCATGATAGAAAATACAAGCCCTGGAATATCGTATCAACTGGGAGATATATACTCCGTATGCAGGCGCTGTTGGAATGTTGCTATATAGAAATGGAAAGTTCACAATTGACAAATTGAAATCATCTCTTTTGTCGTAGAGTTTTTTTTCAACCGACCCTCATTGTCAATTGCTAGATGTAAGTCAAGACATGAGGCAGACTTAACTGTATCTGTTGTACCCTTTATCTCAAGTTACAAGATATAATTATACACCAACAAGAGGAAAACCCGAAGAGTCGATATTTTTCCCCGAGATTATCTGTTGCATTTGGAACCATTATAGTCGGCCCAGTATTGTCTGCACTAGTTGTCGACATATTTGTATTGGAATTTGACATGTATTCTCCTTATTTATTAAATCTAGTACAGATAACCACTTGCGTCCACAGTAATATTCAGATATCTAGACAAAAAAATAAAGCAGGACTTGGTAAATAGTAGCCGTTAACTAGTGTATTATTCATGAATTTATTTCTATAGAAGAAGTTACAATTTATTGGTTATAACAGACAGCGAGAACAATAAGCAGTTAATTAAACTTAGACATAATAGTAGGCATCAGTTAA